GGCGGGACGGATCGGGCAGACAGGCCAGGGGGGGCGGGGGGAGCAGCAGCCACATCAGGAAGATCACACAGCGCAGGAGGCGGCTGCAAGGTGCGGAATACACATACACAAACACACGTCCTCATGCATCTGTGTGTGTGTGTGTGTGTGTCAGCATCAGGGTCCCCCTCGTCGATTCCCTCCGACTGCAACGGCATGTGTCGGTCACAGGACTGGTACGCCGACGGTGTCTGCGACATGGAGTGCTTCTCAGAGGAGTGCGGTTGGGACGGCGCTGACTGCGCCGGAATGCCGCGAATCAATGCCTACCAGCAGCAGCAGACACAAGACGGAACCAACAGGCGGGACAGGAGGAGACGGATGCAAGGTGAGCGAGAATTCACAGGCACCCATGTGTCTCGGCTTCCTTGTGGACGCGTTTGTCTTGTCTGTGTGTGCGCTACTGTGATGGAAGTTGGTTCGAATTCGGTGGTGATTCCCGAGACGTGCTTTGGGGACTGCCGTGATTTGGAGTGGTTTAATGACACGGTGTGCGACTTTGAGTGCTACAATTATGCTTGTGAATTCGACGGCGGCGACTGCGAACCTGGTACGCACGATGGAAGAACCACTCGGCCGCTGGATGTGGGTGAGATTGTGTGTCTGTGTGATTCTGTGCAGGTCTAGAGTGCACTGATCTGGCTTCATATTGCAAGTGGAACGAGACCTGTCAATCGCAAGACGACGGGTCAGCTCACATATACCCACACATGGATGAATGGACTGGATGGAGGCATGTCCGTGTGTTGGGTATTATCTCTGTGCAGGTTCGGTCGCTGTGAGTCTCTGTGTTCGACGATCGAATGCTCAGAAGAGGAGAACGAAGTCTGCGAGGTAAAGGACGAACCCAGCGAGCCCCACACACAAAGAGATGCGAACACGGATGTCCTCTGTGTGTGTGCAGGTTCAGCGGATCCCCGAGGGCGAGCCGGGCGCCGGCAGCGGGGTGGGCAAGTGCGTCTGTGCAGAGAACTACGTCCGCGGAGACAACGACGAGTGCTTCCAAGGTCGGTACCCTCATCGTCAGCACACTCACACGGCTAACACATGGATGTGTGTATTGTTTGTCAGTTCGCGACTGTGCGGTTGGCGAGTGGAAGGATTGGGGTGAGTGCTCCAAGTCGTGCGAAGGGGGCGTCAAGAAGAGAACACGAGAAGTCACGGTAAGTACGTCCACACACTACTCACGCTCGTCCATGCCTCATCGATGTATCCCCTGGATCCATGTGTGGATGCAGGCCGAGCCGCAGGGCGGCGGTGAGGAGTGTCCCGAACTCGAAGAGACAGCGCCATGCAACGATCAGCCTTGCCGTACGCATCACAAAGACACGTTGGGCATCCGTTGCATATGTCTTTGTGTCCCCCCTGTTGTGACATCAGCTGTGGCGTGTGTGGTGGGTGACTGGTCGATATGGTCGCCCTGCTCCAAAGACTGCGGCGGAGGCAAACGGAGGAGAGTCAGAGAAATCACCGTAAGACAAACCCACACTCACCACGGACACACGAGGGACGGAGAGACGTATGTGTGTGTCGTGTGTGTGTCAGACTGAGCCCCAGCACGACGGTGAGGAGTGCCCCCCACTCAGCGAGGAGGAAGACTGCAACACCGAACCATGCAGTAAGGGACCTTTCTTCACAATGAGCTTCACCCACCTGTGTGAATGCATGGATGTCGTTGATCGGTGCAGAGACGGACTGCACGGTGTCTGACTGGTCTGAGTGGGACAAGTGCTCAGAGGAGTGCGGCGGGGGCACACAATCAAGGACCAGAACCGTCGTGGTCAGTATGCACGCATCAGAGCACGGCTGATTACCGTATCAACCGTTCCCACGTCTGCGTGTCTCTTCTTGCTGTCCCGCAGGAGCCGGATCAGTCTGGCGGTGCGCCCTGTCCCGAGCTGTCAGAAGAGAGGGCATGCAACGAAGACCCGTGCGGTGAGACAGACAGACAGACAGAGAGATAGACGGGCAGGGGAATGGATGTGTATGTGTGTGTGCAGCGGTCGACTGCAAGGTGGGTGATTGGGGCAACTTCTCTGAGTGCTCCAAGTCGTGCGGCGGCGGCACCAGGACCAGAAACAGAACAGTCGAGGTACACAAGAACAAACAAACAAACACAGTGTGATGTGCATACGCACCTGGATCTTCTCTGTCTGGCTGGCACAGGTTGAGCCGTCCGACGATGGCGATCAGTGTCCCGACCTCGAAGAGACTGAGGAATGCAACACACAACCATGCGGTACGTTCGCCACACTACACAACCACATGCACACACGGCCACATGGATGTGTTCGTTTGCCTTTTTGTTTGCCTCCATTCCTTCATTCGTTCAGATCCGTGTGCTGGTCTGTCGTGCGGTCTCAACGAGGAGTGCCGACGGAGCAGCGACAACACGACCGCCACTTGCGAGTGCACACCGCCATTCACGCGAGCATCACCTGAAGCAGAATGCACCAAAGGTGAAGCAACGAAGCGATCATGTGTTGGACAAGCGTTTGTGTGTGTATGCAATCGTTCTTTCTCTCCGCGTGTGTGCCTCAGAGCGCCCATGGGACGTCTTCACTTTCGGCCCGTTCTGCGACGGCGACTGGCCGACCACCGTCAGATGCACCGGTAAACACGTATACATACACACGTCCATGTGTACGTCTCGTTATGTATGAGACACAATACATACATACATACATACGTATACATGGGTGGCAGTTGAGGCGATGTACGTATGTATGTATGTATGTATACGAGATCATGTTGCGTACACACGGGCATAGACAAGATGACATACGCCCTCACCCACCCCGCACCACCCACCGCACATACGCATGAATGACCGACAGGCTGGCAGCCAGATGATGGTATGATTGTTGGTTGTGTGTCTGTGTGTTGGTTGCTGTGTGGCTGCCTGCCTGTCTCTCGCCTCTCTCCCTGCCTGTCTGTCTGTCTGTCCGCCTGCACCACCAATCACGCCACCACCCCTCTCTATCCACTCGCCCGTCTCTCTGTCTGTCTGTCCGCCTGCCTGCCTGCCTGCCTGCCTGTCTGCCTGTCTGCCTGCCTGCCTGTGTGTGCCTCCGTGTCTTGTTGCCTGCCTGCTTGCCTGTCAATCTATCTATCTATCTTCCATGGCTATTGGCCATCGATGTAGATGTGTCTGTCACAGGTGGGAGCACTATGGAGATCTGGGACGCCTTCTACGGACGAGTCGAGAACGTCCCCGAGTGCCCATCGGACAGCGGCGTCACCGACTGCGGCTCGCCATCCGGACTCCTGCAGAAACTCAAAGACCAGTACGTTTCTCACGCACTCATTTTGCGCATCCTCATCTTCTGTATGTGTGTCGTGTGTTAGGTGTGACGGCCAGGGTAGCTGCACAGTGAAGGCCGACCCAGAGGAGCTGGGGGACGAGTGCCCGGGGGTCGAGAAGTACCTCACCATCGACTTCAGATGCAACTGACGGCCTCTCACTCTCTCTCCTTGGCCTGTCACCCTTCTTTTTTTACACTTCTCTGCCTGCCTAGCGGATGGATGGATGGATGGCTCGCATTATCGCATCGATGTTCGATTCCTGTGACAGCCGTAGTCAATTTACACCCATGCATAAGATGGATGGGACGGCCCATCAGGGCGACGGTGTGGTGACGATACCGCTAGTTTTTGCCGACAGAAAAGGGACGGACGGGAGGGCTGGGGTGTGCAGAGACGGCCATTGGGGGGAATGGGTGGGTGAGAGGAGAGAAGAAGAGGAGAGGAAGCTTCTATGTGCGTGACTGTTCGTTGTCCGTCCGTCTGCCTGTCTGTCTGTGTGCCTCTCTCTGTGCCTGTGTCTATGCCTGTCTGCCCGGTGTGATCTGGTTGGTCTTGTGTGGCTTCCTTGTTGGCTTTTATAAAATATCCTTTTGTCAGTCGGCCGGCGTGGTGTGTATCATGTCCGCAGGCTGTTTTGTAACCACTGGCTACTGCGTACCCACCCACATTAATGCATAGATAGAGCTAAGGGGCGAGTGGGCGGCCGGGCGAGGGAGGGGGGATGGGCGCGGAGGGGTGCAGGTAGGTCGTTCATGCATTTTTGTATCGTACATGCATGAAAGGAGCGACACGGCCAGCCAGCCAGCCAGCCAGCCAGGCGGGCGGGCGGGCAGACAGGCCTCGAAGTCGATTGCAACCAACGACGCACCAAGTGCACGGGCGGACTGGACGCTGCGGGCATCATGGTGGTCGGCACACGTGTGTTGCGTTTGCACGTATACACATGAGTCTCGGGCACTGTGGTGTCAGGCATGCACGGTCGGTCGGTGCCATAAAAGCACGGTGCAAGGTGGTTATGTAGGTAGGAGTTTTGTCTCGAGTGAGCAACACAGTGTTTCAGTGTCTGTTTCTTTATGTCCAGCTGTCTAGCTATCTCACGGACTCGCTATAGTGCTGCATAATGCATGCATACACGCCTCTTGCTGCCGCTGTCGCTGCTGCTGCTGTGCTGCACGGCAAGCTGCGGCGACTCAGCAAGCGAGGCTTTTCAAGACACTTAAGAACACACGCGCAATGGTGACTAATTGAGGAAGGGGGAGGGGGGACCTGTGTCGGACGGCGCGGGTCAGGCTTACATGGGGTGGTCGGCCGGCGAGGCGCACGCCACCACGGCTCGCCACGGTTGGCTCGCCATGCCACGCCGTGCCCTCTCTCCCCATTGACGCGGCCGTCTGCACAGGTAGGTAGTCGTTTTTATGAGGGGCTGGGGCTGGTGCTGCCTGCCTGGCCGCCCGGTCTCACTCACTACCTGGGTGGGCTGATCTGGTTGAGTGAGTGATCGAGGGAGAGTGACCGACCGACCGACCGACTGCTATTTATTTCGTTTGGCTGGCATCGCTGTCGGTGTTTCTTGTTTGGTGTCCGTTTGTCTGCCTGCCTGTCTGGATGACACGCTGTTTTGTAGGCTGGCTGGCCGCCTCTTTCCTTCCTTCCCTCCCTGTCTGTCTGTCTGTTTGCTCTTCCTGCAGTCAGAACGAACGAGTGAAGGGGTGGCGGGACTGCTGGGGCGCGTTGCGATTGCCAACGTACGGTGATGATATTTGTCCCGGTTTTTCGTGCGTGTGGCTGTGGGCGGCTGCACGCATGGCGCGTCAAGGTGCCTGTCTGCCTGCCTGCCTCGCTGCCTGCCTGCGTGCATTGCTGCGTGGCTCTATTCTTCATACATACCATGCGTACATCATACCTACCTACCTACCTGCCTACATTATTAATACGTACGTATACGTATGTACAGGGCAGCACAGCTCGTAGACCAGTACATTCATCCATCCATCCATCGTACACAGTCGCTTCAGTCAATGTCGTACTCTCATCCCATCCATGGTTCCTTTCGCGTGAGTGGTGCGTGCGTGTTCTGATGGCTGTGGTGCTCACGGCACGCCAAGCTGTCGTTCGATGGAAGGAACGATCGCACCAATGCTCGTACGCGTACGTGTACGGACATATACGTGTGCGTGTCTCAGACCGATCGCATTGCATCGCATGACATCGCATCAACCCATTTCATCACCGACCTGTTCGTCGTATCGCCACTGTTCGTTCACACGCGCAGAACAAAACTGTCATATGCCTTTATTTCTCTCTCGCTCACTATATGGCAAATCCAGACAGACACACGAGCGCTACACGTACCAAATTAACAGAGCTACCATGCCGACTGCACGGCCGGCTTTACGGCCCTCTCGAGCACCATACCTCTCAGATCGGCAGCCGTCACAAGCGACATGTCAGCATACACCCCCTCAGCGCCGTCAAACACCTGGTCCCCCGTCGAGTGTGTGTGGGTGATGACGCACTTCATGTCGGCCTGCAGGGCCGCCTGCAGACCGATCAGGCTGTCCTCGATCACCAGGCATCGCGACGGCGGGATGGCCAGCCTTTCGGAGGCGGCGTGGTATATCTCGGGGTGTGGCTTCCTGTGCGTCACGTCGTCGCCTGCCAAGATGAGATCGAACCTCGATAACAGATCCTGCCAGACACAGCAGAACAGAACATTCAAAACACAAACAGGCAGCCCTGTTTGTGTGCTTGCGGGGTTCCCTTCCTGCTTTGTTCGCCCGCACCTTTCCCAGAAGGTTCTCCAGCACGAACAGGCATGACGACTTGGTGCTTGCAGAGCATATGGCCAGCTTGGTGCCAGGCGTCCTCATCGCCTCCTCCATCACACGCAGCACTCCCGGCCGCGGCTGCGCCGTCCCCTCAGAGATAAAGCTCTTGTAGATGATTGTCTTCCTGTCCTGCAGCGTCTTGAGCATCCCTTCACGACCGTCTGTGTCTGCCGGTGGTGGGCCGAGAGTGGAGGATGGCCAGCCGTTCTCGGTGAAGTAGTGGCGCATCTTGGGGATGCCGCCGCCTATCATATTCTGCAGGACGTCGTAGTACTCGGGCGTCCACTCATACGGTATCGCGAACTCCTGCACACACCCACACAAAAGGACGAAGGGTGGACGACCACGCCGGCGTGCCATCGTATGCCATCCTTCTCACCCGAAACATGGCGTTGTAAGCGTCTCGATGCAGGCCTTCAGACTCGATAATAACGCCGTCGCAGTCGAAGATCAAAGCCCACTCATCGCTGGCTTGTGATGCACCGCCACTCATGACGCTCGCAGATAATGGGCGTTGTCTTAGAGAGGCGCTCGGCAGCCGCAGTTTCCTCTGGCTGTGTGTTGGTCTTGACGAAAGCAGAAACGAGTGCGCAGGGAGCGGCGAGAAGAAGACGATAGCCAGTAGAGAAGTGATGAAGGGAAGCGGCAGCGTGGACGCCATCCTGCAGGAAGGCGAGAGAGAACAGCAGTGCAGCGCAAGGAAGAAAGCCAGTAGCTTAAAGCCAGCAAGGGCTCCTACACCTTTGTCGGCTCAGATGCACCGGAGAGATCACGAAGGCTCTTCACGGGACTGACTCATAGCCGCGTTTGGACAGATCTCTCATCACCAGGTACTGAGTGAGTTGGAAGACCTGCAGAAACTTTTCCTTCGAAACTGTCGATTGCGAGCTCATGATTGCAGATCTGCCCCCAATGATGGACTCGCAAAAAGACTCGGAGGGTCACAGCCACGACGCTCGGTAAAAGACAACAACCAACCAATGAGCAACTTCAGGAGATTCCAGATCGGCAGGCCCCAGAGTAAGGTGGCTGGCGCCAATGCTGGACAGGCACCCACTCCGGGTGCCCAATCCCAGGCTGCCCCATCGGCCACTGGTGCTACGGCTCCTAGAGAAGAAGCTGACCTACGCTACAGTCTGCCCCTTCCCTTTCTCCCCCCCGCCATGGCGCCTATCGATATCTGTGTTATCCAGGGGCATGAGCTCGAGTTCCAAGCTGGGCCGACCAGCTTCCTCGGTCAGCGTGGGGTTACCATAACAGATGGGCGACTTTCGATGTATGCTGCAGGTTTTGGCGCATTCGGATGCGTGATGAAGGCCAAGTGGAAGGGCCAATCTGTCGCTGTCAAGATACTGGTGAGGCCTCCGCTTGGCCTCCAAAGATGCCACCCCAAGGAACATTGAATGGCTCTCCGATGCAGAATCATGTGAATATTGAGGAGGTGAGGAAGGAGGTTCACGTGCTTTCACACGTCCAGCATCCCAACTTGATCAAGTTTCTCGGGCTGGCCGAGCAAGAGGGAAAACTCATGATTGTCACAGGCACGCGTTCTCTGCCCGTTCGAACGACTTCCATGCATATGATGGCGCTTGCAATGTGTTGATGCTTCAGAGCTGTGCATTGGCGGCACATTGCATACATTCATGGCGGAGCTCAGGGAGAGACTTGATGACAGCCTTCGCCAAAAGCTTGCCGAGCAGGTAACACAAAGAGAGGCGCATCCTTGATGATGTTTGATGGATGATGTTTGCAGGTCTGCGAGGGTGTCGCTGCTCTTCACGCACACAAAATCGTCCATCGCGACCTCAAGCCCGCCAACATTCTCGTACGCAGCACGTAGAGCCTGACTCCTTGTCAGATTGGATGTGTGTGCGCCTCAGGTGGATGGCCTGGGCAACATCAAAATCTCCGACTTCGGCCTGGCGAGAATTATAGATGGCACGAGTCGGTCAGTGACTATGGGTAAGAGAGCAACATATGTAGCAACAGACAGACAGACAGACCGGCAGACAGGCGGGTGGACAGATAGAGAGACAGATAGAGAGACACACAGAGAGAGACACCGACACACAGACACGGGCAGGTGGGAAGGCAGAGAGACAAGCGGGCAGGTGGGAAGGCGGGCAGACAGACAGAGAGACAGACAGACTTCACATGCAGGCGGGCAATTTCAGGACCTACGTGACAGCGTTGTTTATGTGCAGGGGCTGGCACACACGGCTTCATGGCGCCAGAGGCCTATGATCCAAGTAAGCAATGGCATATGTATCGCCGTTTTTCTCACGGATCGTTGATCTGCCTGCCCTGCAGCGAAGCGGCTAAGCTTCGCATCTGACATTTGGGGACTTGGAGGCATCCTGGTGGAGATTCTGGGAGGTAAGAGTGCAGTGTCCTTCTTGGCCTCTCTCAACCATTCTCTCTGCGCCTGCTTCGCAGGGAAGAAACCCTTTCCTCAGTTGAGTGGACTGACACCGGAGCGGGCCATGGGGGAGGCCATGAGGCTGCACAAGGAGGGAGTGAAGGTTCGTCTGCAGCTATAGGAGATGCTGCTCTCGACAGACTCATTGACAGCCTCTCTTGTCCTAATCTCCTTGTTTATTGACAGCCTGAGATCCCCACGGGCAAGCTCTTCCCTCCCCATGTCAGACGCATCATTGAGGTACATTGCAAGGAAGGCACAGCAAAATCCATATGCGCCGTCTCTGTGCAGAGATGCTTTGAGTACGAACCGAGCAAGCGACCGACGGCCAAGGAGGTGCCATTTGATATGAACAGACGATCGTGTCTGTTTTCTCTGTTTCCTGTGTCTTTCCTAGGTGTTGGATGCATTGAAGGGCCCACCACCCAGATCGATGACGCCAAACCCCCAGCCGATGGACAACAACGAGGCGAGTAAGGCTATATCCGGCTTACGCCTCATTTGTGTGTATCAGAGATGGATCGCTCGGATTGCTTTTATGAATCAGACACCATCACACTGCCAAAGCCGATTTCGGTGCCCGTTTCGCCCTCGCCTGCACCACGACCGCAGACCGTCAAACATGTACGGACAGACGGAAAGAAGAACGCACACGCAACAGGGAATTGGGCGGGGGTGGACGTCCTTTATGAATGCAGAGTGACATCTTTGAAGCCGTCAGAGCCAACGACATCCAGTCCGTGGCCCACCTGATCGACACGGAAAAGGAGATACTCGACAAACGTTGGTCTGGGGTATGCCATCGCGAAGACGATAGGACTGTACTCAGTGGTCTATGTGTCCTCATTTGTGCGTCCAGATGACACCCTTTATCGTGGCTGCACGTGAGGGTCACGTGGGCATCATAACGGTGATGTATGAGAGCAAACGTGACACACCGCAGCAAAGAGACAGCGTACCGACACCGAACAAGGCATCCTGTGTGCTCTTGATGATGAGACGATGTGTGTTGGCTGTGATGGAATGCAGCGTGGCTGGAATGCCTTGCACTGGGCTGCACAGGAAAACCGTGTTGCGGTCGTCAAGCAGCTGCTGAAGTGGGATCCCTCACTGATCGATGCACGCAACGAGGTGACAAAGCACACATGTCTCCGATGCCTCATTGTGTCGATTGTGCGTGTGTTGATTACAGGATGGCAGGACGCCATGGGATTTGGGGGAGAAAAAGCCGGAGATCAGAGAGATCATGGAGAAATACAAGTCTGCCCACGGTCAGTCAGTTAGTCTGTCCTCCCACGGGAGAAACATCACTGTATCCATGCCGTGTGTGTGACAGCTGCCCAGCCTGCACCGCCAGTGAAATACGTGAGAGGCAAAGTGTCCCATCCCCATCAAAGTGACATGTGCAAACGACTGTTTTTCCTGTGCTAGAGGGACATCTTTGCAGCCGTCAAAGCCAACGATGTCCAGTCCGTGGCCCACCTGATCGACACGGAAAAGGAGATACTCGACAAACGAGAAGGTGGCTGGTGGAAGGTATGCAACCGTGAAGCCGACAGAAACGAAGTCAGTGGTCGGTCTGTGTGTTCTCGTTCCTATGGCGCATTTCACACCGTTCCTTCGCGCTGCGGAGAGGGGTCACGTGGGCGTCATGTCGGTCATGTATAAGAGCAAACCTGACATACTGCAGCAAACAACCACCAGGGTACCGACGCAGACAAAGCATCTTGTGTGCTGCTGGAATTGAGGAGAAAATGTGTTGGCTGTGGTGCAATGCAGCCTGGCTGGAACGCCATACACTGGGCTGCCACTAACGGCCATGTTGCGGCTGTCAATAAGCTGCTGGAGTGGGATCCCAAACTGATCGATGCACGCACGAATGTAACAGAGCACACACATGTTCCAGACGCCTCAGTGTGTGTGTCGATTGTGTGTGTGTGTTGATTGCAGAAAGGCGGCACGCCATTCATGGAGGCTGCCTTCTGGGGTCGTGTTGATGTGATGGAGGCAATGTATGCCAAACGAAAGGACCTTCTCACACAGACGGACGATGTGAGACACGCATGGAGATACACAGAATGCCCCTCGTTTGATTGCCTTTCCCTGTGTGCATGACACACAGGACGGATACACGGCACTCCACCATGCTGTGCTCAATGACAAATCTGCGGCTGTGTCTCAGCTGTGAGCGACACAGATGACTGACTGACGCGAACATCTCATCCACACACTGTCCCTCTCTCTGTATGCATGCATTCTCAAAGGCTCGAGTGGGGCGGCGGTGCTCTGCTGGACATCACCACCTGGGTAAGTGCACACAGACATTCCCACCATCGATGGTTCGAGTGGTGTGCTGATCTCATCTCATCTCATCTCATGGTGATAGGGCAAGACGCCGTGGGACTTCACGGGCCAGGCCGAGCTACAAGAGATCATGGCGAACTACAAGAGATATGTCCCCACGCCGTGGGTCCTGGGGGCGCGGAAGCCGGAGATCAGAAAGATCATGGAGAAGTACAAGCGATAGGTTCTTCTGGTCAGACTCTGATGTGGTTGTGAAGTGTGTAAGGCCTTTCGTCTATCCAACTGTGTTTGCCTGTTAGACAGCAACTGCCACTTTTGTGTTGCAGTGCAGAGAGATCAAAGGGCAGAACAGGCAAGTTTCGCTTGATCATCCACAAGCCAAGTGAAGTGATCAGTCTGTGGTGTGGGGCCTCTGTCTGTCACTTTTGTGGACTGAATGCGACTTTTGTGCCTGCATGGACTGTGATGTGTCTGTGGTGTGTGGCTGTGGCTGTATCCGTGGCTGTGACTGTGGGAGTGGTCGTGGCTGTGGTCTGAGTGAGGGAAAGGGACACACAGACAAACGACAGAGTGGCTGAGTAGCTTGGCTTTGTCTGTGTTGGTCGTCTGTTGGCTCACCGTGGCCTTCGTCGCCGTAGACGTGCACGTGGGATTTGCCCATCTGCAGAACGCACACACACAGGAAGGGCCTCTGTCTGAGTGTGTCTGTGTGTGTACGAGTTTGAAGAGGAGGAAGCTTAAGCACATGACGGCACACCGAACGCACACCAAAATCGACGACACGCGATTGCCTGACCTCACACACACCCACCCCACACACAGAGGCCAAACTCTGTGTGCGTCACATGGTCACATCTGTGTCTGTGTGTGTGAGATACCGGGGTCGTATGAGCAGGCCGAGGGGATGAGACCGAAGACGGCGATGGCCACCATCCGAACAGCAAAATCGACAGGTGCGGCATCAAAATCAAATACGTCAGCACTGCCGCCAGCGGCTGCACACACACACACACACACACTGGTTCGTGTCTCTGTTTTGTTGTGTGTCGACCGACCTGAGCGGCCTCCACGGCGGAGGCGATCCAGAAGGCCTTGTATAGCACACACACCCACACCCCTCTCTGTCTGTGTGTGGTGGTGTGGTGTGTGTCATACAATGGCGATGGCGATGGCGATGGCGATGGCGATGCCGGCGGGTAAGTTGTGGAGATGCCCAACTCGGGAGACGCCACCGCAGCCATTAATGAGGTGATGCCCTCAGGGAAGCTGACACACAAACACAGAGAGAGAGTGAGATGCACACACACACCTATGCAGTCGTGTCTTTCTCTCTGACGGTCTGTCTCATTTACTTGTGCAGGCCGAGGGCGATGGCCGTGAAGATGCCTTAATTGACAACCGGTGGGTAGGTCGATGCACACATTACATCACATCAGTCAGACACCCACTGTTTTGCTCCATTCTGTGTCTGTCGAGAGCTTTATGCGTCTGCTCTTTACTGACAATGACATATGTCCGTAACTCTCGGCTTGTCACACAAACCCCACACCCCCTACACCCTCGAAGTCGCTTAAGACATCATGACAGACGCTGCCGAAAGACCCAGACCAAGTGCACCATAGATAGAGCTACTTGATCCGCTTCACCACCGGTCAGACGGGCGTGCCCGACACTGGAGCCGTGTGGATGCTCAGACGGTATTTCCCTTCATCACTTGACAGTGACGCCACCACCAATCGGTTCTCTCCTGCCTGCAATGCACGCAGTATGCCTGCAAAAAGTGGTGCATACTGCTGCTCACCTTGAAGGTGACGTCGATCTGCACATTGTAATTCTGAGTGAATGCGTCGTCACCCAATGGCTGAGTGCAATGTGTGCTGACCAAAGCCACTGCCACTTGCCGAGCCTGCCGAGACACGAAAATAGACAGTGCATTCGGGACCTTTCTGTTTCTTGTGCGATTGCAAAATACCATATGAGACTCCAGGAGGATGACAGCACTGACATTCTCAGGGGTCGTTACGCAGTACTGGGGATTCTTGTTGATTTTGCGATCTCCTGGCGTCTCCGCCGTCCATTCGCCGTCGTGATACTGCGATATCCAGCCGGCAGGAATCAAAGGGTCCAATTCAAACAGCGAGGCCTTAACCGTCGAAAAGACACTCATTGTGAAGCAGAAGTCCTCCTGCATTTGGGAAACACACGTCTTCAGTATGAAAGCAAGACTCTTTCCTTTCTTTTCGCACCTTCCGTTTGTGCTGATCGACCACTTAATTCAAGAAAAGAATCAATGGGGGAGAAGGGAGAAAGGAAGAGTGCAAGAAAGGAAGGGTGAAGAAGACAGGGTACCAATCGTGTAGTTGAGATTCAAGTCTTTTCGCATCCAATCGTGCCTCTTGCGCCAAGGCAGTCGGAATTTGTCCAGTTTGATCATCAGGCTTGATGGTGCACCCAGCTCCGACCACCGAGAGCCGCCGGGCCTGAGCACCCGGTCGCTACCCTCGAAGATGTGAGTTGTGATAGAGATGCGCTTCTCCTTCTCCTCCTTGACCTGATCCGCGGCGCTGATGTGCCGATGCAGCTGCACCCATACTTCCACTTCACCCACAGACAAGTCCTTGGTTGACGGCAGCAATGTAAGGGCGAACTGGGGGCTGAATGCCGACACTGTGCGTGCGGTGCTGATGAAGGCTGCTTGGCCCGTGGGATTGAAGCTGCACACACACACACATACGCACACACACGCACGCAGCCATCCAACCATCCACGCAGACAGACAGACATACAGACATACAGACACACGGGCAGAGATAGCGAGAGAGTACCATGAGCGGATAAGGGCTCACCAAGAATGAATATCAACTCGATGAGGAAAGATGGAGGGGGGATGATAGGCTAGGGCGATGTCTTCGAAGTGCTTTGCTACGGCGTCCCATTCCATCCAAAAGCATCCATCGTCCTCTTTATGCTGCGACACACACACACACACACACACACACACATGGCGTGCGTGAAAAAGCACGACCTCTAAAATGTACCTTCTCTGGATTGTATTTCAGCTGGCTCTTCATTGCTGGAGTCCAAGAGAGCGGGTCGGACGATCAGAATCTACCTTGCCAGCGCTTAGATCGCCATGGATTGCGGATGAACATCAGCCTGTGGCCCTCAGCTTCAGCCGCTTCAAGCACAGAGTATTCATGGCCTGAAACAAGGCCTGAACGTAACAATGGCATCCATCAGTGCATCTAAAAAGAGGTAGCCCTCTCTTGACCTACCAGTATTCCCTATGGCCTGCTCCATCATTCCGCCTTTGAAACACGGAGTGCTTACACAGGCGACGGCTTTTCGGTCGCGCAAAAGTGGACAGATTTCTGCCTACAGCTGATCGACCGTCTTTCCTGTGAGCTTCAGCCTTTCAAAAGAGACGATTTCAGATATCCACCCAGAAAGTAAGTAGAGGTTGTCAGGCGCATGACTCCCATCGATCGACGCGTAGCCTCCCATGGTCTTCGCATATGCCTTTTCGAACAGCGTCACCCAAAGCTGATTGGAGAGGGGAGCAGACGTCGCCGTCAACTTTTTTTGCAGTCTCTTCGTGAGAGTGGGGACGGTATCGTCAAGGACTACCTTTCTCGCCTCCCCGTTGAAGTACAATTTGATCACGTACTTGCCTTCAGGGCGAACGACGGGCTTCAGGCTGTCAGGTCGCTCTTTTGGGTAGATGCTCTTGGTCAAGATAGGCTTGCCGGTCTGCTCTTCACAGTTGGCCAGGGCAACAAGCGAGCTCAGGAATGCACAGTCTCCGACAGGCCCCTGCTTGACGCTGTCTGCCGATAAGAGGTCGGTGGCCACGACTGGATTACTGACGATCTCGGGGAGGTGTCTCCACATGTCGAAACCAGGCCGAAACTGTAAGTCCTTCCCATGGTCCCTCTGGCCTTTGGAAACTTTCCAGAGAGAAGTCCCCTTGGTTGCCTTCCCAGCCCTTGTCGACGAAGACTTGCGACGAGCTGTGGCTCGTGACAAGTAGGTCGGGATCCGTATCGCTCCAGACGGGGAAAGAATGGCCGCCGATATTGCTCCCTTCATCCAGAATATCGTTCTTGCTCTTCCGTCTCCGAAGCCAAGTCGGTACAATTATCGATCCTTGTTGCTCAACGGGAGAGACGGGAGCAGTCCGCAGGACAGATTGCAACTCAGCGACTTGTCTTCCTATTTTTGGATTGGTCGCCGTGACGGGAATTCCTGCGAGGATCTTTTGGACGACGGGTCCATACGATTCAGACAAGCCGACAGCACGGCCGATTCTTCTGATGAAATATCCGCCCCCCAACGGAAGAGCCACCGAGTCGTAGATTCGATAGCAGTCCTTGCTGGAAATCGGCCCTTCTACCGGCGAGAGTGTAGAGCGCATCCATGGCGATAGCAGTCCAAGCATCTCAGGTTCGAGACGCATCATTGCCAAGTCAAAAGGTGTGCGACCTCCCTATAATCGAAACACCCAGCCTCACACTGCATTGCGGAGCTGTCAACCGTACCTCATCTGCTATGCGCAGAGCCTCTCCTTTGAGCCGCTTTAAGGGCTCCTCCACCAAGGGAACATCAAGATTTGCAACTGCAAGATGAAAAGCTGTTTGTCCGTCCTGGCACGTGCACAAGAAAGCATCGTGGTCTGTTTTCATTAGCTGGGACATCCACACCTTTCTTTGCTGCTTGATGCTGCTTTCTGACGCGAGAAGAAGGATGATATCATCCTCCAAACAATCCTCCAAACAATTGACGAGGAGAGCAAGATGAAGAGGCAAATCACCGTCCTGCGATCGGCCAGCCAAAATGGCGAACGAGTGCTACCATGGCTCTCACATGATTCACCTTGTCTTTGGCATCTCGAAGCAGCTCGAGACAGCCTTTTTCTGCAGCAGCGTCGACAAGGAGGCGAATACATTCACCTTTGCCGCATGCAGCCGCCACAGAGAGAGCCGTCTGCATAGCCTGAGGCAGACAATCAAGCGCTGTCTATTTCCATTTGTGTCTTCCTGTGTCTCACGTCGTCTTGCGACAACAGAGCCTCTTTGTCCGCATGCTTAAGCAACTCTTCTACGGGTGACGGATTGCCAAAAGCCGCTGCCTCGTGCAGAGGAGTCCTTTTCTGAAACACCAGAGAAACCCAAGGAGCCAAGGCTCTCACTGTGTGCGACAATGCACCTACCTTGGTCTTGTTTTTGGTCTTGATGTTCCCTTCAGGAAGTAACAGACGAATACACTCCGTGTTTCCATTCGCAGCAGCATGATGCAGGGGAGATTTTCCATCCTGCCCATCAGTGGCGTAGCCGTGAATGCCATGTATTTACGATGCATCCTTCTGGAGGCGCCCACCTCATCCTGTGTCCTGATGATGTGCATGATATCGTTTTCACGAAGGTAACCAACTATTTGCTCCAACACGAAAGCGCGGTTGGCGAAGACGGCCCTCTGTAGCACAGTGTCATCATGCTAAAAAGGAAGAAGATCGTGGGCAAGTGGACAGAGCTAACAGAGAGTTCCCTCTCCCACCTGATCAATGTTCTCTGTGGAGGCCCGTGAGATAGGTCGCGCCGCTATTACCACATCAAGCATCGCATCGACGTGTCTCCACCTGCCCTTCGCCATTGCACATTGCAGGGGCGTCAGCTTGAGGGAGCCTTTGCAGCTGATGCTCTCGGGCGTAGAGAGAAGGCGTGTGACGTCAATGGCCTCATCATCAATAGACAAGTGAAGCGCTGTGCTGCCATCCTGACACATGCAATAACCCACAGTGGCTCAGGATGGAAGGCGGATTTCATTGACATCACCTTTCTCGTCGCCAAGAGAAGCTCCCGCGACAGCAGTGAAGCTTCAGTGATGCTGTTCACCATTGCCGGCTGACGACTGAGTGCAGCCAGATGCAGAACTGTTTGCCCCGCCTGAAGAGGATCAAATCAATGAAATAGATGCGCGTCGACTTTGTGCGTGTGACGACGTTGTCTTGGATCGCCAAGGCGGATGGATCCGCGGCTTCGATGAGGACATTGGTCACGGCGGCATTTCCAACCTGCGCAGCCGCATGAAGCGGCGTCTTGAGGACCTGCAATGGCAACAATCCAATGACACAAGGGGGAAGCAAGGCCCTCAGGGGAGCTCACGTCGTCTTGCTTGGAGATGTGATGACTGAGGCCGAGCGACAAGAGCGAGGCAACGACATCTTCCCTGTCCATCCTCACTGCCCAATGCAAAACGCTCCGGTTGCCCTGAACAAAAGTGCATGGGATGGCCATCCAACCAGCCAAGAGAGAGATGCGTGCTGGACACACGTGGCTGGGTTCGGCGTCATCGAGTAGCCGTCGTGCGTTCTGTCGCTGATCTGCTCCGCTTGATGAACTTCGACTGAGCTGCTTCAGCCTCGAGAGAAGGGATGCAGGAGCCCCGCCCTGCTCGTGAAGCTCCACAACAAAGGCCAACACGGTAGCCACAGCCTCAGCCATGATCAAATTCAGGTTGCGGCCCCCAGCCGGCCCCCACACGCCCTCTCCGACTCACTGGCAGTCCCCTTTCTCCCCGGGCCTCTCCAGTCCCCTTTCCC